CTCAGAAAACAACAAGGTTGTCAGAGGAAGACCAGGATGTCAACCTCTGCACACATGCACACACACCTGCATATCTATGAACATGTATACACATATATACTGTGTGCACACATACAGCAGGACAGTGGAATTCATTGCCAATGGAGAAAGAACTGAGAAAATGCAAAAAAAAAAAAATACCAGAAAGGACATCCCAGTTATGAATTAAAGGAGTTCATTCCTGTGCTGCGAGGAAACCCAGCCCGTGTGAGGGTCATGTGTGACAGCTTCAGATAAGGCCCTAGGCAACAGCCAGTGTCACCTGCTAAACCTGCGAATGAATCTGCCTTTGAGATGTGTAGAGCCAAAGGCCTATCTGACTGTAACCACATGAGAAACCCAAAGGGAGGCCAGGCGGTAGTAGCACATGCCTTTAATCTCAGCACTTGGGAGGCAGAGGCAGGTGGATCTCTGTGAGTTCAAGGCCAACCTGGTCTACAGAGCTAGTCCAGGACAGGCTCCAAAGCTACAGAGAAACCCTGTCTCGAAAAACAAACAGAGAGAGAGAGAGAGAGAGAGAGAGAGAGAGAGAGAGAGAGAGAGAGAGAGAAACCCAAAGGGAGACCCACTTAGGCAGAGCCCAGGCAACTCCCAGGCCCAGGTGAGATGGTTTACACCTGTCAGCAGTGGCTGTGCGTAAGACAATTGCTGTCATTTGAAGTTTGGGGCAGTTTGTACACATTGATGCATACATGGTCATGTGTCATGCATGAATGGCTCAAGACCAGGACCCAACCTGATCATTTATCATGAGTCCAGCGTGAGCCCTGCCCCGCTGCCTCAAGCCACTCTGGGTTTCTTGTATTGAACTGCTGTTTTTCCTGCACCTGAGTGGTTAGCATCTGACCACATTGATGCATCTGTTTGTCAGCTCTGTTCCCTCCTCTCCTCAGTGGACAAAGGCTTTGGCTTTTTCCTTTCAAATAGCATGATCTATGTGCTCCCCCTGGTGCTCACTGGCAGTCCTGGATGGATTCAATCCCCAGCCTTCTGCAACCTGTGCGCAGGATGTTGTTCCCAGCACTTGGACTCAGTCTCAGTTTGTTCTGACCTAGCATCAGAACTGAAACTGGTTTTAGGTGGAGAATCCTGGAGCAGGGAGACTATCTCAGAAAGGAGCAGCTGCAGGGCCCTGGGTCTACTTCTAAGATTCATGTGGAAGAGGGTTTGGCAGGGTGTTTTGGTGTGTGAGGCCAGCTGTGGGAAGCTGGAACAGGCAGAGGGAGGCAGTGGTGTCACTAGAAATGGGAGACCACTGTCCTTTCTCCTTTGCATGGCCAGGCAGGTGTGTCTTTTGATGATGGTTGTTAACAAGCTTGTCCATTTATCATTATCATGGCTTCACAAGTTAGTATACAACCCCATAGCAAGAAGAACAAGTTGCTAAGCATTAGTCTTTCTATGGCGGAGTTCTATATGAAGCGTTACATGTGAATGAGTCCACTTCATCTGTACAATAATAAGTGAGAAGTGCTATTGTAATCACCTTGTTATACATGGGTGGATAAGGTGAATGAGGCTCAAAGAGCCTGGAGAAACTCACCTAAGAGCAAAACGTAAAAAAAAAAGAGGGGGCTGCAGAGATGGCTCTATCCATAAAGTACTTGCCACACAAGCAAGAGAACCTGAGTTCTGATCCCAAGCATCAATATAAAAACCAGGAGGGGGCTGAAGAGCTGTCTCAGTGGTTAAGAGCATTTGCTTGTTATTCCAGAAGACCCTAAGTTTGGTTCCCAGCCCTCAGGTCAAGCACCAAACAACTACCTGTCACTCCAGCTTTAGGGGATTGTTGTGTAACAGTTTCCTCTGAGATTAAAACTTTCCATTCTGCAGGAAGCTCCTTAAACAGGAAGGTAAACAACTCAAAATAGCTTCAGGAAGTCCCTGAAACTGACCAGATTCACTAGTTCCCTTCCTGTAAGAGTAAACTATAAAAGCTGAGCATGCCCCTGAGACAGAAGCAAGCTGAGATACAAAGAAGACCCTGAGACCAGACCAGCTGCCTGGAAAAGCAGAAACCAATTGAGCTGCCTGGAAGAGGTTTAGACCACCCCACCTGGCATATGCTCCAATCTGTTGAGCTGCCTGCATGCTGTGCAGTGTGCTCCAAGTTCCCAGCTTTGTGAGCTGTCACCCATGCTGGGGTGGGTTTCAGTGATGCAGCTGCCTTTGAGTCATTTCCACTCCTGTAAATGACCCCCTCAGCCATGTTCCTGTGCTGTGTAATAATCCTTCTGTACACTGTGAAATTTTTTTACTCAGATTGGTTTAATAAAAAGTTGATTGGCCTGTAGCCAGGCAGGAATTATAAGGGGAACAACCAAACTAGGAAAATGATGGGAAGAAAAAGGGCAAAGTCAGAGGAGATGCCAGCCAGCTACTGAGGAATCAGGATGCGTAGAAAATGAGGTAATAAGCCATGAGCCATGTGGCAAAGCATAGATAAGAAATATGGATTAATTTAAATGAAAGAGTTAGGTAGTGACAAGCCTGAGCTATTGGCCGAACATTTATAATTTATTTTAAGTCTCTGAGTCAGTTATTTGGGAAGCTATAGATTATTTGGGAGCAGGTGGTCAGGATAGGAAAACTCCGCCTACATTCCTGTAAGCAACCTCAATAAAAGTCATCTGTTCACAAAATTGGACTTTGGTGGTATCTGTACTTTGGTTTTTCATGAGTTTCCTATCTGGGGTGAGTAGACATTTGTATTGTGCCTCCCCAGAACAAGTTCTGTCACACAACAGGGATTCAACTCCCTCTGTGGGTACCTGAGTATCTCCATACCCTTTCTGCCAACAGAAACAAACACAGGAATATACAGGTTTTTTGTTTTTTAAAGCCAGACAAGGTGATATGCACCTGTAATCCCAGCGAAGGGAGAAGAGACAGGAGGATCTCTGGAGCTCACTGGCCAATCAGCTTAGCTGGTTGGAAAGTTCCAGGTTCAACGAAGAGTCACTGTCTCAAACAGTAATGTGGGAAGCTATTGAGATGCCCAACAGTGACCTTTGGCCTCCACCCTAATGTACATGCCTATGCATGGATATCTACACATATTCACACATGCATGCACACACGCAGTCTCGAAAAGGTAGGGGTTAAAATTAAATTAAAAATCAGCTTAACAACCATCTCTATAATCAGGATCAAGCATGTAAAAAGCCTTTTTTTTCTTTTGTGATGTTAAGGATCAAATCGAGCCTCACACGAGCTAGACATGTGCTAAACCACTGAGATACATCTCCATCCCAAGCTGGCCTCAACCCTTACTATGTAGCTCAGGGCTATCCTAGAACTCAAAATCCTTCTGCCTCAGTCTCCACAAGTACTGGGAATATAGTCATCACCGGCTATATTGGCAAAATTCCAATTGATAACATTGAGTGCTGGCTAGATTCAGAGCACCAACTGTCACATGTGAATGCAGGATGAATCTAGACTCCTACCTTGGGCTAAGGTTTTCTTTTTAAAATTATATTAGTTATTTGAAAATTTCATATACTTCCTCAGTATATTTTGATCATTTTCACCCCCACTCCTCCATGAAATCCCTCCCAGATGTACCCCAACCTCCTTCTAACTTTATGTCTTTTATTTTTATCTTATTACCCACAGAGTCCAATTTGTACTGCTCTTACACTCATGGTTATGGGGCCATCCACTAGCCCTGGGTTGACCTACCAGAGACAATGCACTTAAGAAAGTGCCATTGTTGATGCCAGCAGCCATCAACTATCACTAGTTCCTCAGTTAGGGGTGGGGCCTTGTGAGTACCTTCCCTACAGCTTCTTATAAGCAAGAGCATTCCCATCTCTCTGGCTCTTCTCTCTGACATATGCATCCTAGGGATTCTTGTGCACTGGAAGACATTAGAATAGTTAGAGCTGCTTTGGCAAGAATGGCAAAAATGGTGTCGGTGGGGATAGGTAGGAAACAAGCCACACCTTTTCTTTCTTTCTCTCTCTTTCTCTCTTTCTTTCTTTCTTTCTTTTTTTTTTAAACACACAATTTAATACAAAGAATTGTTAACTAAGTATAAAGTTAACTGAGTGGAGGAGAAGTTATAAAAAGAATTCCAAGCTAGCAATTACAAGAAGAATTTGCCACCAGTGCTGGGGGAACAAGCTGAAGGATTAAATCTAAGCCACATAGACAGGAGGCCTGCAGCACTGGCCTGCAGACATCTAAAAGGGGGCTCAGAGCCTAGAGGGTGCCTCCAGGCTGGGCCGTGGATCTAGACAGTGCTGGTGCCACCTGCTCTGAGGTGAAGCATCACTGGGGGTGACACCAAGAGTCACAAGAAGCCCACAAGGTACTGTGGGGACAAAGGAGCCAGTCCCTCCTCCCACCTCTTGCCCTAGAGTCCAACCCTACACTGCTTATTGGCAAAGACCAACCCAGCCTAAGAGAAATCACACTGCATCCTGTAAGTGTGCTTGGCAGGATCCAGATAGCAATCCCAGGGAAGGACTGTGGTTGGCTTTGTTGAGTCACATGCCCATGAATTAAGCCAATCAATCATGAATCATGTTAGAGCCAACATGAATTATATAGTTGACTAGGCCTGGTGACCTGCTCATCTTTGTGATTTGTGGTGGCAACAGGGTCTGTTCTTACCAGATAAAGGGGGCCAGGAAGGCTTGTTGGGAACACAGAAAGTAGCCAGGAAGTCACTACAGGTATTCTGATAAGTAGCCAGGAAGTCACTACAGGTATTCTGATTTTTCATGAACACAACAGTAGGCAACCATCTTTGCACATCATAATCTTTCTTTTAACAATTGCCCTATGAAAAATTCCTAAAAATAGGATTATCAACCAGGGTGATAACTTGCTGGAAACTATGTAACAGGGTTGTTCTTTTGAAGCATGTGTGCATCCAATGATTTATCATACACACACACACACACACATTGGTAAATGACAGAGACAGTTAAGAAGTGACAGATCCAAGGACACACAGCAGACACAAAATTTACACTCGAGGTGGGAGGGTTTTGATGAGTACCCTCTCTGGCTGGTTAAGGAAGGGAGCTTCGCCTGCTCTCTTCCCCTTGGAGAAGCTGGACCACTTCCCCCAACACAGGCTGGCAGCCCCGGCCCTCTGAGCCCAGTCTAGCTCGGAAAGGCGATGTGTTTCTGCTGGACCTTGTATCCTCCCAGTGGGTGCTTTCGGCTTGAAGCTCCTCCAGGAGGCTCTGCAGATGCCTCAGTGAGAGCAGCAGCTGCTGGTCTTGGATCTGCATCTCAGCCTAGGAGAGAGGAGGCATTGGTGGGACGAGACAGGCACTCTCTGTGTTCACTGAGCCCCATCCCATCACTGTCTCAGTGGAGACAAGCCCTTACCTCCTCACACAAACCTTAAGTGCCATAGTCCCCTGGAGCCTCAGTTTTGAATCTAGGAAGTCAGAAAAAAATTACTCACCTTCCCAAGGCTCTTATGAGGACAGGATGAATTGGAAGACATACTCTGAAGTATGACATAGATACCAGCACTGTATCTTTTAATCTTCATGGTAACAAACACACCATCAGTGTTCTCTAGAGGAACGGAACTTATAGAATAAATTTATCTCTTTTTATCTATCTATCTATCTATCTATCTATCTATCTATCTATCTATCTATCTATCTCCATTTATATCTATATCTCCATCTATATCTATATCTCCATCTATATATCTCCATCTATATCTATATCTCTACCTCTACCTCTACCTATGCCTATATCTATATCTATCTATGGGATTCATTAGAATGGTTTACAGGCTGTGGCCCACCTAGCCCAACAGTGTCTGTCTACCAACAGAAGGTGTAAGAATCCAGTAGTTGTTCAGTCCATGAGGCTGATGTCTCAGCAGGTCTTCAGAATATGCCAGAATCCTGAAGAAGTGGGCTCCAAATCCAGTGAAGGAATGGATTTCACAGTGATAGTAAAGCAAGCAGGCAAAGAGAAAAAGCTTCTTTCTTCCAAGTCCTTTATACGGGCTACCAAAGGTGTGGCCCAGATTAAAGGTGGATCTTCTCACCTCAAAGGATCTGGATTAAAAGGGGTTCTTCCCACTTTGAATGATTTAATTAAGAAATAATCCCTCACAGGTATTCTCAGATACTTGGGTTTTAGTTAATTCCAGACGTAGTCAAGTTGACAACCAAGAAGAGCCATCACAATTATTAATATGCTAGTGGCTTCTGTCATTAACAATGAAGTGAAGCCAACCCCACAGCTAGAACATATTTAGAAGTGCAATGCTTGGGGACACCTAGGTTCCCCAAACCTTTTCAGGGGATCAAAGTGTCAAAACAACTTGCCCTGCAATAAGATGCAATTTCCCCCTTTGCTTTTATTTTCTTAATTAGCACCCAGTGGGGTTTTCCGGCAGCCAATGACATGCAATACCTCGATTGAATACAGAAATAGAAAGGAGGACTCGGTTGTTTTCTACTAATCCATATAGTAAAATGATTTACAACAATGTAAAGCAGGGTCAACTCTTCTCTCTAAATATCTGCTTTGAAAAATCAGTTATTTAAATAATATTTTATTAACATGCTGTGAGTGTATTTGTTCAAATGTATTGATGAATAAATAGTTTAAAGTATTCGGCTTTGGTTTATAATATGTATAAAGGATGTTTTTCATCAGTGTCCTTGATAGTTTTGCCAAACATGAAGGGGACCTAAGACAAAAAGTTCAAAACTGCTGTGCTAGAATATCACTGTCATCTACCTCCAAACCTCTCATCTTCCAGAAAACTTTTCCTATACATTTTGTCTGTTTTGCACCCTATTTTAAAATGTTAAATTTAATTTTATGCTGAAGTAATTTTTGCAACATACATTGAAAAGCCATAAAAGAGTAACTGTCCCTCAGTATTCAAGAAGGATGGCTCCAGGATCCATCCCTGTGGATACCAAGATCTAAGGCATCCAAGCACCTTACAGAAAATGGAACCATGTTTGCACATGGCCTGTGGGCTTTCTGTTTGCTTTGGTCATTGCTAGATGGCCTGTGTCAGGTTTCTATTGCTGTAATGAAGACTATGCTTTTCACAGCCATAGCTCCAGCTTCAGGGATCTGATGCCCTCTTCTGGCCTCCATGGGCACCTGCACTCATGTGCACAAACCCACACACATACACATAATTAAAAAGAAATCTTTAGTGTGCTGGGGGGTCAACTGTGGGGCTGGCAAGATAACATTGCAAGTAAAGGCATTTGCTGCCAAATTTAATGTGGTGGTTTAAACGTCCTCTATAAGCTCAGGTGTTTGAAGCTTGCTTCCACATTGGTAGCACCATTTGGGTAGGTTTAGGACATATGGCCTTACTGAAGGAAGTATGCCATTGGGTGCTGAGATTTGAGGTTTTGAAAACCACACGCCATTCCCAGTTCATTCTCTGTTCCCAGTTTGTAGCAGTTCAAGAAGTGAGCCCTCAGCCTCTTGTGCCGACCACCATGTCTACTGCTCGCTGCCACACTTCCGAACCATGACAGTCCCTCTAGAACTGTAAGCCAAATAAACCCTTCTTTCTGTAAGTTGTTTTGGTCATGGTGATTGTCTTAGGCTGACTACTGCTGTGAAGTACCATGATCAAAGCAACCCCAGGAGGAAAGGGTTTATTTGGCTTACGCTTCCTTCCACATCACAGTCCATCACTGAACGAAGTCAGGGCAGGAACCTGGAGGCAGGAGCTGACGTAGAGGTCATGGAGGAGTGCTACTTACTGGCTTGTTCCCCCTAGCTTGTTCGGCCTGCTCTTTTATACAACCCAGCTCAGGGGTGGCCCCACCCACGATGGACTGGGCCCTTCCCCATCAATCACTAATCAAAAAAAAAAAAAATGACCTACAGCTGGATCTTATGGGGGCATTTTCTCAAATGAGGTTCCCTCCTTTCAGAAGACACTAGTTTGTGTCAAGTTGGCATAAAACTAGCCAGTACAAAAGGTAATTTAAAACTTTTTTTTAATTTACAAAAAAATAATCAGAGTCAACTATCGTTAAAACTCACCCCACTCCAGCCCAAGCTATTATACAACAGAACTCAGCTGTTCCATAGAGGAAGTCACTGCGTGTGGCTCTCTGGCCACACAGGAGGACACAGGTTCAGAGATGCAGATGTTCAAGGGCTGAGGATGTAACAACCAAATGCTAGGACGGACCTCTAGCACCACTAGGGAGTAGGGTGAGAGGTTTTCAAGCCTCGTCTCTCTTGATGAGATAATTATCAAAATTATTTTCCTACTAAAAAGAGTGTTTAAGAGGGCTGGGATGTGGCTCAATGGTAGAATACTTCCTGTGGAAGGCCCTGGGGTTCAGGTTTAGCACTGCAAAAAGAAAAGTGATTTTTATTTTGTGTGTGCTAACCTGATTACCTTACAAATGAGGAGCCCGAAGTCCGGTCACTGGGAGGACCCGTTGTGCAACTGGGGTGCCTGTGGCTTCAGCAGCAGCTGTGACCCCCAACCCCATGAGAAACCCTGTCAGGGTTGCCTCCCAGCTGGCCTGTTGCCTAGCAACCCACAAAGGTCTCCTGGGATGGTCTTGTCTGTCGCTCTCTCCTCTGGTGTTCCTGTGCGCTCTCCGCTCTCTGGGCTGCTGTGCACACATATTTTGGGACGCCTCTTTATTTGGGGACATGGAGAAAAGACCACAATGAAAGGCATGGCGCCTGGCTTCCCAGGTAACATGGCATATGCACTCAGGAGAATTAGGACCCATGGGTGAGTCTTTACCAACTAGAAACAGGAGACAAGAGCAAGCTACATGAGTGAACGTCTTCCTGCATGCTCTTTCAACACTTGAGAGGAAGTCCCACAGGCCACAGGCTCTGTTTGGCCCCTTCTGCAGTGGGCGCTCATGTGAGTACTCACAGCCCGGCCCAGCCCAACACCATTTTTGCCTCTACTGGGCTTCCTCCAGCTCATCTCCCTCCACATATATCTTAGACTCAGTTCTTGTCGGTGCCTCTGCTTTCCCAGCTAATGTGCTGGGTGTCCTTTGTCCCAGGGGTCATGTTTCACCCTAGGTGCCAAGCACTAATAAGATAAATGACAGACACCTCTCACCGAAGCCTTCCAACAACCCTCATAATGTTGGCATTAAAATTACCTTCATCTTGTGATTTAAGAAACTGAGGCTCGGAGAGGTAAAGACACTAGTTAGAGGTCACACAGCAACAGAGCTGGGTACATTGCTAGCACCCAGCACAATGCTAAAACCAGTCTGGCCAGCACCCAAGGTCTCCTATGTAGGCCATGACCCACTTTCCCAGTACCTGCGAACTCCATTGTACTCTGTGTGGCTGCCCCAGGAGGGGTGTCTGCAGGGCTCAAACTTCAGCCCGAAGCCCCTGTCGTAGCCAGTGAGGTCCTGGGAAGAGTACGTGTGTGACCAGAAGCCTCGGGAAATACAGGGAGAAATGACAAGTCGAAAGAAAAGGCTTACCAGCTCCTTCCTCAGCCATTCCAGGGTCTGCCCGAGATTGGCTGCCGGCTCGCCTGGTGTTTCCATCTCAGTGTCCTTGATAGAGTCCTTGGCAATGACTTGGCTACAAGCTTGAGGGACTTTTGACTTGTACAGTCACCGGCTTCCTTCAAGCTGTCTCAGGCTGTCAGCTAAGTCACCAGGTGGAATTAATGAAAGCAGGACGTTATTCACGCTGGAAAACGTAGTTTAGGATTTTTTTTTTTTAAGCTTTAGTGCTTTGAACAAAACAAGGAAGAAGGGGAGAAACCAGGGATATGGATATCTTCATGCCTGATGGTTCCAGGAGCTCAGGGGATCTGATGGTCCACAGGCACCCCAGGACTGTGAGGCTGAGTGAGGCCGGCACAGAAAGGCCTATTAGGGTTTCTTTGTTTTCTGTGTAGAGCAGGCAGTTTACACACGTCCTCTGGGGCTGACACCCCTTCTGTGGTCCCAGTCTCCCACCCCTTCCTCCCTCACCTGTGGAGTCTGGATGAAGGGATGCTGACTTCCCATGCCCCTTAACTTCTGGGATGCTCACGTGACCAGTTCTCCACGAGGGAAGCCACAGCAGAAATGTGCTCTTACGCATCGGGAAATCTTCACTTTCCTGAAAGCCAGGACGAGTTACTGTTGCTTCCTGTTTGCTTTTGCTTTTTGTCCCTGCCGTCTGCCTGGAATGTGGATGTGGTGTCTGGAGCTACAGCTGCCCTCTAGCAACGACAAGATGACAGCCAACAAAAGGAGAGGTTGGAAATCATGCTGCCACCATCTGCGTGTCAGTGGGACTGTAAATGCCGTTTGAACTGGACTCCGCTGCTTGCCATCAAATCCGGTCCTGCCCAATTCCCCATCTATTCCTCACAGCACACGGTGGAAAGGGTATTCCTTCATCATCCCTTCTAATAAACACTTAACGATTGTCTACTGTGTGCCAAGTTCTGCCCCAGGCACCAGGAAGAAGCTCCAAACCAGAGAGAGAATGACCTTGTTTCACTGGTTGATATCCTACCAAACAGAAACAAATGAGACCCAAACTCATGTTACAGTGGGAATAAACAGGATGTAATTCTCATGTAGGGTTTTCAAAAATGCACTCTATCCGCATGAATTTGAAACTCCAAGCCAAGAGCTGATATAGCCATCCTAGATACAGAACCTACATACAGAGCAGAGAGGACCAGCAAATGAATTCTCAGCTCAGGCTGTGACAGCATACCCATGAATATGTGCCCCGTTAGATCCATCCAAGACCCACAATGACAAAACATGTAAGGAAACTGCCCAGAACAAGGGACAGCCAGCCACCATGGGACCAGACTTTTCTTCCTCCAAGAACTCCAGGAGAAAAATACTATGAAGCCTGACTTGGTGCTGCACATCTTCAGTCCCATCACTCAGGAGGCAGAGGTAGGTGGATCTCTGTAAGTTCTAGGCTAGCCTGGTCTACATAGTGGGACCCTGTCTAAAACAAAATATATTAGGAAAATAATTATAGACACAAAAAATTGAAAACAAAAAAAGAGACCATATTAACAAAGGGGATTTGAAATAGAACCTGATAATTTATTCAAGCAAAAAAAAACTTCAAGTAAATATCTTTAAGTCAAGGAGGAGGGTCTTATTTTCACCCCAGACAACAGGGTAGGAGCAGTGGGTGAAGGACATGGGGGAAGCTGGTCTCTGCTGAGGAGAGCGTTGCTAAGAATTTTGCCAAGAGGTGGGTACTTGGTGGATGGCACATGAAGCATGGTGTGATGTCCAGAGAGAACTGAGGGGCCTTCACTGGCATGGAGGTGGACCTGGGTTCTAAGTGTGAGGCCTCTAAGTCAGGCAAAAGGACCCTGCGCTGCACGGAGCCTGGGTTCTGCCCTCGGCTTTGTGGAAGGAAGTTCCTAAAGCGAGTTGTTAGGAGCGCCACTTTTTTTCACTCTGGGGTTTACAGCCCAAGATGGATCCCGATGGCGGCACAATTTGCTGTACAAATTCTATTCTGGTTCAGCTGTCACGCTTTAGAACCAACGTGCTCTGAGAAATAGCTGCTGACCACAACTGCCCAGCTTTTAAACACGGGGACCAGAAATAATCCTTTCCAGGCTCCGTGTCACATGGCTATGAAATAACAGGACAACTGTCGGAGCAGAGATGGGTGCTCCAGTCCACAAAAGCCACCTGCAGGCTGGACAGGAAGGAGATCCTTGGCTCATGGTGGCTGATGTTCACGGAGCTGTTTGGTGGTGGGGACCAAAGGAGCCAATCAGATCTGATCTCATTTTGAATTTGCTCCAGAGGTGGCACTGTCCCAAGAGCACTGGGTAACAAACATCTTTAAAATGCCATACTTTCAAGTAACAATCGCACTAATCGGTTTTCTGTTGCTATAACAAATACCTGAGATGATGAACTTAAAATAGTTTATTTTGGCTCAGTTATGAAAGCTTGGGTTCATGGTCAGTTGGCCCTGCCACCTGGAGCCGTGGTGAGGTGGCGCACTACAGCACTGTGTGTGTGAAGAAACAAGCTGTTCATCTTATGACAGCCACATAGGGAAAGGTGAGAGAAAGAACACCAGGGTCCCAATATTCCCCTTCATATGAACAGAAAGCTTTCCACTAGGCCTAACATGTTCAAGGTTCCCCTACTTCCCTCTAGTACCTCAGGCTGGAGAGGACTTTACCCATGGGTCTTTGGAGTACACTTACCCAAATCACAGCAACCATCTATTTTCACAGAAAAATTAGTGGGTTGATGGGATGGTGAGTTGCTGCCAGTCACATATCTGCAGGTCTGAGGCTGCTCCACAGGTCTCCTGCCATCCTCCAGGATTTCTAGGCATGTTCTTTTGGCAGTGCAAAAAGTAAGATTTTAAAAATGTCTGGAGATTCAGCTCAGCAAGCAGTAGAATGCTTGCCTAGCAGGCATAAAGCCCTGGATCTGATCCCCAAGCACCATAAATAACCATAGCATGCGTCTATAAACCCAGCAGTTGGGAGGAAGAGGCAGGAGGATTGGAAGTTTAGGGTTATTCTCTGCTACATAGAGAATTTGAGGCCAGTTAAGGCTATTTGAGATCCTATCTCAAAATGAACAAACAAAATAAAAGAGCAAATAGAATTGCACAAAGCTCCTTTAAGGCCCAAGCTCGGAACTGGCACATTGCTACTTTGCCTACACCTTTGGGCAAGGTGATCTACACAAGCAAGTCCAGGCCGAGAGCAAAGATGTACACCCATCTGCAGAGAAGTCTTTGGCAACTGTGCTATTGAGTGGAGAAGAACAGGACCACTGGCTTGGAAGGGCCCTGAAGGAGAAGACGGAAACCACAAGGTGGGAGAAGCTGGAGACAGGCGTACAGTGATGTGGTGGTAGTAGGGGACAGAGGAGGTGACCTCAGAATGAGATGACAACCATTTACTGATGTTCTGCCCTGGGCCCTTGACAAATAGACAGCCTTGTTCCGTCTTTAAACTTGTAGAGACAGCAGACCTCAAACTGTGTGCCAAGGCATCCCCAAGTACTGCAGAAAACTCAGAGATAGCGCAGAGCAGTTGAAAGCTCGGGGGAATGATGCAATGTCATCTATAAGATACTGTGCAGACAATCATTATTAAAGCACTTGAATCTAACTGTGTGATCACTATTGGGCATTTCTTTGGGCCTGGCTCAGTCGAAAAGTCCTTGATATGCTAACACTATGGAAAACTGAGAAAGTTTAAGAACCTCTGCCTATAAGCTAGGCATCATTATTATTTGCATTTTTAAAGTTTATTACTTTATTTTGTGTGTGTGGGATGTTTTGCCTTCATGTATGTTTGTGGAACACATGCTAGAAGTACCCATGGAGACCAGAAGATGGTGTGAGAGCCTTTGGAACTCGAGTTACAGGCGGTGTGAGGCATCGGGTAGGTGCTGGGAATTGAGCTCACGTCCTCTAGAAGAGCAGCTAGTGCTTTCAACCACTGAGCCATCTCTCCAGCCCCTACAATTGCACACACACACACACACACACACACACACACACACACACACACACACACACGCACGCGTATATATAACAAATTATTATGCAAATACAAATGTACATTTTAATATATTAGAGATATACCAGTCATTAGTCACTTTCTACACAGGAAACTGAAGCTCAGAGAGGCACAATTTGCCAAGGATCACTCCAGCAGGTGGTAACAGCTGGAATTAGAATAATTTTCCCTGACCAGTACATGGTAGGTTTTGGTCTATTTAAAGTGGTGGAGGACCAAGAGAGGCTCTAGCCAAACCAGTGTGCTCTGCCCTGCATGGCATCATGGAAAGCTAGAATGCTTGGCAGGGAGGAGTTGGTGCCCTGCACTTGGCCTCCCAAGCTGATGCCTAATTATTTCACAAAGTCATTTCTTGTGGTTAACTTATTTTGATACACTTTCATTTATTTTTAATCCCGCTAAGGATTCATGGCCCCGAATACATTTTATTTCGTAGGTTCAGAAAGGCTTGGCACATAGACTTGAGGAGACATGGAGCCAGAATGCCTGGACTGGCTGGACTGGCAAAGAACTGAAGTTCCTGAAAGATGAAAACAGTATAACCATAACCTTATAACCATAAAGCCAGAATGGCTATCTGTTCATTGTCTTTGATATCAGAGCAGCTTCCGTGGACCACACCCCACAATGCATTCTGGGGATAGAGTGCCGAGTAAGCAAGATTTCACACCTGACCTCATAGGTCCCACGGTACATCTGGTAAGAGGGTCTATTAACAATAAACAGACTCAAAAATCTCACATTAGTTCAGGATTCAACTCAGCTGACAGAACACTGACCTAGCATAAAGGAAGACAAGGGTTCCAACTATACCACTCTGGAAACTGAGTGTGGTGATGTAATCCCAGTACTCAAAAGGTAGAGGCAGGAGGATCAGAAGTCCAAGATCATCTTTGGCTATATAAGTTCAAGGTCAGTCTGGAACACATGAGATGGTGGCTCAAAATTTCAAATAAGTAAGAAGTAGGGTTGACAAGTAGATCAGCTAGCAGAGTGCTTGCCTAGCATGCATGAAGCCCTGAGTTGGATCTCTGGGACTGCATGCATTGGGTACGGTGCTACTAACCGGTAACTCCAGCACTGGGGAGGTAGAGGTAAGAGGACCCGAAAATCAATGTCATCCCCTCCTATGCAGTAAGTCAGTGCCAGCCCAGATACCTGAGGTGCTGTCTCAAAACAAAACAAAGCCAAACAAAAAACCCCTCACTTGATAATACAAACCTAGTATCTGTATGCATACATCTATGTTTGAGTATAAAACGAATGTATGAGTTTTCAAATGAAAAAGACTTTGGCTCCTATAGAGTGCTGGTTGCCCAAGTAAACAGAGGGCTGTGACAAAAACTGTTGGCTGTGCTCCACAGGAGGGGATTCATGCCTGGAACTATAAACACAGTCAAAACCCATGGCTAGAGAGGCCATAGGCCCCATGGGCTGGTGGGAACTATTGTTGTTGTTTTGCTAAATGTCTAATATTTCTGTTTATGCATACAAATCTGTTCTGTTCCCGGCCTTGGCCAAAGAAGCTTGTGTTTACATATAGTGTGTGTAAAAATCTGTGCTGCTCCGGGCCTTGGGCAAAGAAGCTGCTTATTGCGGTGGGTAGTGGTTAATGCAGAGAGGCATTCCTATGCAAACTGCTGAGAATAAGCAACTGTGTGTGAGTGCTCAGCCACAGAGGGACATCTGTACTGACCATCTCCCCAAGGCTGGAGGGACATAACTGAAGAGGTGGTGGGAAGAGTGTAAGAGCTGGAGGCTGGGAAGGAGAGCTGGGAACGCTGTCCTCTGGGTATATCATGGCTGTGGCACACAGAAACTCACAGCAACTGTGGTACCTACACAAGACCTACCTGCACAGGATCAAGCCAGTGAAAAATCCCGGCATATATGTGAGAGGGGCTATTGAAGTCCCACCCTTAGCTGAGGGGCTATTGGCAGTTGATGGCTGGGGGCAGGGGGTGATGAAGTGACCCCTGGTAGGTTGCCCATGTCCTGGTGGGTAGATGACACCCTCCCCCCACCACACACGTGGAGAGTACTAACTGGACTTGGTGGATCAAAATAGAGCACGTGAAGTTGAGAGGAAGATGTGGAGATATCTTGGGGAAGGCTGAAGAGGGGTTTGGGATAGATATGATCAGTATACATTGTATACATGTATGAAAATTTCAAAGAATAAATAAAAATGTTATTTTAAATAGACACATATGTTATTGTTTAATATACTTTCTTCTCTTTTCTCCCGAGAAAAACTACATCTCCCAGGCTCCCTTTCTGGTGTGTGTGTGTCATATGGTTAAATACTGGCCAATGAAATATGAATGGCAGTTACATGTTCAATTTCTGGCTTATGCTCCTAAAAGATAGAGAGGAGCTCCTCTCTTTCCCCAGTGCTACCTTCTGCTGACTCCCATGCACTGATGAGGCTGGAGCAGAAGCAGCCACCTGGGCATACAAGATAGGTGGAGACCAGGCCTACTTTAGGTGGAAGCCACCATGTCAGCCTGAACTGCCAAGTAGACTTTTGCAGGAGGAATATGTTGTTTTATTGAAGACATGATTGTTTGAATATCTTTTTTTTTTTTTTTTCGAGACAGGGTTTCTCTGTGTAGCTTTGCGCCTTTCCTGGAACTCACTTGGTAGCCCAGGCTGGCCTCAAACTCACAGAGATCCGCCTGCCTCTGCCTCCCGAGTGCTGGGATTACAGGCATGCGCCACCACCGCCCGGCCTTGTTTGAATATCTTAAGGACAAGAGTATAGACAATTTCCCAACAACAAGCCAGATGACTAGAGCAGAAACCAAGTCCCTTGGTTTCCCCAATTCAAGTCCTTCCCATAACCCCTTTACCTACGGATTTAATGGTTTATTCTCTCCCATATGTTTACATGTTCATGACCAAATCTGCTCCTTAACAATAATAGCTTTGTGACTTCCATAGTAGGAAGAGGATTTCTGTGACTGTCACTAAGTAGACAGGAAAAGCCAAGATGCAAGCATAGCAGATGAGAGGCTATAGAGATAGTAAAGTGTTTGCTGCATAAGTGTGAGGATCAGAGTTCAAGTTCAAGGACTCATAAAAGTCCAGGATGATGCATACACGTGTAACTCCATCACTAGAGCGGTGGAGACAGGTGGATCCCTTGAGCTCACTAGCCACCAGCCTAGCCTAATTGGCAAGTCGCAGGTCCCAGGGAGGCTTTGTCTCAAAAAACAAGGTAGATTGCTTGTTAAAACACCTAAGTTGACATCTGACATCCACATGGGCATAGTCACATATTCTCCACTATTGGTGGAATTATTAAGGCCACTCCACATAGTTAAAAGGAAGATTTATTTAGTGGATGACTTACAAATGAAGGGATAGGTAGGTCACGGGGTCTGGGGAAGGTGTATCACAGTCCAGTGGTGTTCTCTGGAGCTCTGCTTGGTCAACCTCCACCATCAAGGGTCCCGGAACAGAGAGAGTGCTGGCCCATCCAGATCTCGGGTCCCCAGGCACCTCCCTTGGCCCCGCCTTGTAGGCGTGACAGTTGCCGAAGCCTCAATGGAGGTTGGAACTTCCAGATCAAAGTTGGAATGGCTACCCACTACATCTCCCTCCTTTTGTCTAAATAAGAAGGTTCTAACCTAATACAAGACTATATACAAAGGAATGGTTATCAAATACTGTCCAGGAATAATGAGGGATAATGACCTAGATAAGATGGAACTACAACCAATGCAAACAATATCAAGCAAGAAACACATACTAAAATCCAGAGAAGTATAGAGCATAGGTAAATGGCATGTTACAAAGATCATTCCAAAAGGTGTCCTATCCTAACGAACCTGAATCTAATACTTAATATGTTCTATCTAAGATATTATATATACTAATTTGTAACTATAACTGCTAGTCTTTAATCCCATCAAAGACCTGAGAAGGAATATAATGGTACCTGAGAAATGGTAGATGGATGCAAGCAACTTTCAGGAATCTTGCAAGAGTAGACCAAGACAGCTGGCAGCCTGGACAGTCACCTAATGTTTCTCAGCATTGTTGGTGCATTCAAATTGGCTACAGGCCTAGAGTATTTGACAGACCTTTTTCAGAAGCAGGAATTCTGAAAGACCATCTTACACTGTCTTGGTAGAGTACAGTGGCCGCTTTCCTTGTGTCCCGCTTGTCCAGAAAGGACAGCATTGCATTCGTACTGTCAGCCATCAAGGCAAGGGCAGATCTTTGCCCAGTAGGCCATTTTGTGCCAAGAAGACAAACTTCCAAATGGAAATGTCTTAGAAGCCCAACATTCTCTCGGGGTCAAATTGGTGCAGCCAGGAGCAATTGTGTCTCACGTCAACAGAATTCTAAGTTATTTAAATGCCATGTTCTCTAGGTCTATGAAGTGTTTGAAGATTACCTGTCCGTCTATGTATCTGTAAATCTGGATAACCTAACTAATGTAACTATAGAGATGACAAGCATAGGTGACTATAAATCTATAAGTCTTATCTACCAAGATAACCTAAGGACTAAGGCTTCATGTAAACAAGGTAAACAGTCTATAAGCAAATGTATGGTAGAGAACAATGACTTCAAAATTGTGACAATACACAAGATATTTATAACAGAGGTAGGAATATATAGTGTGATATGCAATATGACAATAATCTTAAATATATATTAAAATACCGAATATCCTAAACAGAAGTAGAACATATATAAAGTATGACAGATATAAATTTACATTTGTATCAATAGGAACTTCCAGATCCAAGCTGGAATGGCTACCCACTACACTCCACCATGAATGCTGTGGTTATTTGAATGTGAATGGTTCCTATATATGTATATATTTGAATTGTTGGTGTCCCAAGAAAAAGAATAAATTGGCCTAATGGTGTAACACATTTCTAACAGGATAAAAGTCCATAAACCTTCCTAAATGTTTGTTTCTGTTGTTCTCTACAGACATGTAAGGCAAATGGTCTTTTTGTAGTCCCAGTTCAATTAAAAATTAAAGCTGGCTTTGGAGTTGGAGTGTTGCTTTCTCCTTCTCTAAACCCAAGCACGCTTGTTAAAAGAAAATCCAAAATCTCTGTCTCATGTCAGAAGAGCCACCTGGTATGGGACAGAAGAAAAACCAAAATTAAGGGACTCTTCTGTTGCCACCAATTTCATAATCCTTTGGTTTTATTTTGGCCCTTTAAAACTTTTCTTAAGGTATAAATATCATCTTGAAATTTATAAGATATATATATATATATATATACTTTCTGTCATAATATTAGTGGTCCTTTAGAATACTAATTCTAGAAAAAGGCTTCATCTAGCTTCCTGTACACGATTTCAGGCTTGAGTCTGAAGCGGGTAACTAGGAATTAAGTTGTGTACCCTGGATGTACTTAACAAACTGTGGTCCTTTAACCTCTCCTAGATCTGCTGCATATGACATTTAAAATGTTTACTGCAGTGAGCTGAGACCATTCCTAACAGCAACCTTTGAAGTCTCCCAAAGGATGATGGGACCCCACAACAAGAATTCCATCTGGATTGTGGTAATGCCACTAAGTGGACAAACACCACCCCAAGATCAGCTTTGGACTACAAACTGCTCAGGACAATTTCAAGGTGGCTAGCTGAGATGGTCCAGCCTCACACACTACTCCACTCAGGACTTCAGATGAGCCCTACACTTTCCCATCACACAGAGACTGACAACAAATGATACAGCTAGCTCTCCCAGGACTTGACCATTATCTCAATTTTCTTAGGGTCCCCAGAGATGCTGTCTCTTCCCCTCCCAGGCAACAAGAAGCAGTCTAGCGAACACAACATCCACATTCCCAACAGGTAGGGTAGGTGGTTGTTGGTCATTCAGTGGGTTAGGGATGTTTGACATCATTTAGGGGAATTGGTTAGGAAAAAATTTGAACGAAGGAGATTAGATTCATGGATCTCATTCTGAGAAAGAAAAAGGGGGGGGGTATAAGAATGGTAGGATAAAAGGGTAGATTATTGAATTTACTTTGTTTGTTTGTTTTTTCTTTGAGACAGGGTTTCTCTGTGTAGTTTTGGTGCCTGTCCTGGAACTCGCTCTGTAGACCAGGCTGACCTCAAACTCACAGAGATCTGCCTGGCTCTGCCTCCCGAGTGCTGGGATTAAAGACATGCACCACCACCACCCGGCCTGAATTTATTTTAAACTAGAAAAAACAACTATTAATCTTAAGTATTTTACATTGGTATGGATTTTGTATACTGATACAAATTTAAGGTTATTTTTGTTAGAACATACTGTACATACGTTTCTACTCTTGTTTAAGGTATCGTACATACGCAGCTCATTTAACAATGTAATGTAAATTTCTAGTCCTTGAAAGTTATTATCACAAACTATTTAGGATAATAAAGAAATGAAGGTTAGTAGTTAGTCTCCTATAACAATCAAACTTGTAGTCATGTTAGGTATGTTTTCAAGGTTAAACAGATATATTTTAGATAGACAGGTAGTCTTTGAACACTTTAGAGGTCTACAGAATATGGCATTTAAGATGTTTAATAACATTAGGCTTTTCTTGACAATGAGACGTGTCTGCTCCTGGTATAAGCATTACAGCTTGGATTGAAAGGTATCCTGGCAGCTGGGAGCCAAGGAATACCATAAAGTCACACCACACAATAAACCTCACACAAGAGATTTATTGGGAGGGGAAAAACCAGGAGGGTAGTTGCCTCTGCTCAATTGAGAAGCAGCAGCAAACTGGACAGGATACAGAGCTTATATAGAGCTTCTTGGGAAGGGGGTGTAACTTTTTAGGGTGGAGCTTTCTAGGGTAGTGATTGGTGGGATTTCATGTCCAGAGATTGGGCTTTTTACTCTATAAGGTGGGGGCAGGGACAGCAGTTGGGCAGTTAAGAGTATTCTGTGGGTGGAACCTGGCAGTTAGAGGTCCTGGGGGAGGGGCCTGGCCACTTGTATCACTGGAGGGGCTTACATTCCCCACTTTTTGTTTATTATTGGTAAACAGGTCATGGGAAAAGGGTCTATGTTATCATTAGACTACTTCCTGCTGAATCAGGGCATCGAGGTTCTTGGGGTAATCTTGATCTTCATCTTCATGATGTAACCAAGTACTGCAGGTCTCTGGCTCCTTTGGGAGGCCAGGAGCCTGGGTAGTTGCTATGGCCAGTCGAAAGGCCTTCACTAGCATCACATATTTTTTGTTTTTGGGCTTTTTCATTTCTCTCATGGTATACCTGAAAGGCTTCTGCTAAGACTTCTGCCTGTGGAGTTGGGAGTCCTTTCTTTAGATGTTTTAAGTTTAGCACTAATATCAGAGGAACTCTGGGAGAAGAAGTAGGTTGTAAGGAGTTGCTTTCCATCTGGGATCTTGGAATCCAGATTGGTATATTGTAAGAGGGCCTTTGTGAGGCAGTCTAGGGATTAAGATGGGTTGTTTGTCCTGGATGACCTCTTGGATTTTTTCATAATTTACCTCTTTCAGGGTGGCCAGGTAGGAGGCAAGTTACAAACTGATCCCTAGCAAGGATGCTCCCTGGGGTATTGTAATTTCATTCAGGTCCTGGTCAGGGACTGCCTCAGTCCTGACTGGGTGGGCAGCCAGTCACTGAGAAGGGAGAAAGGGAAACCAGAGTGGCTGGAGAGGAAGAGAAGGGACTGTGGGTTGAGGCTTCTTAGTGTGATCAAAAATAGTGGAAGAATCATCTGGTTTTGGCCTCACAGCTAGGAGGAGTTGTTTTTCCTTGGATGGCTTATGTCATGGGGTCACTTTTATCAAGATGGGAGTGAGGTCACAGAGAAAATCAATCCTTTTCAACTCTAGCAAAGAAGGCTGTCAGCTCCGTGGCCACCTCCATCGCAGTGGGGGGACAGCAGCTGAGGTGGCAGCAAGCTACATGTTTCCTTTGAGATTACCTATGTACAGATTTTTAACTATCAACCTTGGTGATATGAGTTTCAAATTAATCCTTTTGTTACAGATTTTACAGGGTTTTAATCATACCCAATATGCTTAAAAATCTTGAGATATAGGAAGTCTACACAATTGTTTTACAAATTTTCCTTCTTCTTCTTCTCCTCCTCCTCCTCCTCCTTCTTCCCTTCTCCTTCCTTCTCCTTCTTCTTTTTTTATCCTGGCATGATCAGACTTCTGGGAATTGAACCCAGGTCCTCTGGAACATCAGTCAGTGCTCTTAACTGCTGAGCCACCCCTCTCCTCTTAGTTTTACAAATCTTGAGATAAGATTTATACCTTAGCAAAAATTTTTAGAGTTAAA